TATATGCACAAGAACTAGATTTCTTTAATAGAATTGTCATATTTCTGTGGTCAAATGTAATCTCCAGTAGCAAATAATTCACCTGAAGAGGAAAGAGTCCACAAAGGGACATTTGCTGTGAGATGGTTTGTTAATGACAATCCCCTCAATTGTGAAATATTCTGGAAATGCAACACTTCATTGTCCCCTCACCTGTTAACCATAGGAAAGTATTGTTTGTTGCAGTAGCAGTGGCTGACATTAAGAAATCCACAGTAAAGCTGACTTTCCTCTTCATTAATGATCTGGATGATGGGAGCGGGTGTACCCTCAGCAAGTTTAAAGATGATAAAAAGCTGGGAGGAGTGGCACACCAGAGGGTTGTGCTGCCATCCAGAGGGATCTCAAGACGCTGGAGGAATAGGCAGAGAGGACCCTCAACAAAGGGAAATTCAAAGTCCTGCAGCCTGGGAGGAATAACCTCATGCAGGTAGCAGCTGGGGCAAACCACCTGGAAAGCAGCTTTGCAGAAAAGGACATGGATGGGCCTGTAGACAAGTTGAAGATGAGGCAGCAGTGCGCCCTCGTGGCAAAGGCGGCCAACAGTATCTGGGCTGCCTCAGAGAAAGCATTGCCAGCAGGCTGAAGGAGGGAATCCTTCCCCTCTGCTCAGCACTGGTGAGGACCCACCTGGAGTCCTGTGTCCGCTTCTGGGTTCCCCAGTACAAGAGAGACATCAACATACTGGAGAGACTCCAGCAAAGGACCACAAAGATGATGAAGGGGCTGAAGTATCTCTCACGTGAGGAAAGGCTGAGTGAGCTGGTACAGTTCAGCCTGGAGAAGTCTCCAGGAGATCTCATTAGTGTGTACAGATGCCTGAAGGGAGGGTGTGATAAAGACTGAATAAGGCTCTTTCCAGTGGTGCCCAGTGACAGGCCCAGAGGCAATTGGCACAAACTGAAACCCAGGAGGCTCCCTCTGAACACAAGGAAACACTTTTTTACTTAAATGTAAAGTAAAGGCCAGATTTTCAGACTGGAATTTTGTATCTAACCTTTGAGGTGAAGTGCGCCTGAGCCCTGGAGCAGGTTGCTCAGATAGGTCATGGAGTCTCCCGCTCCAGAGATATTCAGAAGCTGTCTGACATGGACCTGGGCACCTTGCTACAGGTGACCATGCTTGAGCAGAGGAGTTGAACTGGACAACCTTCTTAGGTCCATTCCAACCTCAACTATTCTGTGACTTAGTGCTGGTTAATCAATGAATTTGAAGCAGTCCATCACAACTGTAAGTCTGATGACAGGATGCCGTGTTAGGCCACTGAATACTGGTTTAATACACCATTTCCGTTGCCTTGATAGCATTTTCTGAAATTGGTAATGTTATGCCTGAAAAGAAAGGAATGGTGTTTTTAAGTGAAGCTGTTATAAGCTGTGGTATGTAGTGGGCGTATGCTCATTTGTTTGCTTGCCAAGTTTACAGAGTCAGTGGGTGAGGAGATAGCCTGGAAATCTGAATGTATTCTTGTGGAGGACAAAAATGCCAGCGTATCAGCTACACTTTTCTTGTGCCTTGCTACTGTGCTCATTACATGTGCTACTGCAGAGGATTAATGCATTTGAACAGATAGAGACAAAGTAAGATTTTTTCCCTGAAGCCCATCTGCTTTTTTCCCCTTAACTGTCTTTAGGTGCAGGAGGGAATTAGAGTTGATTTTAAGAGCAAGAGAAGAGGAGGTAGAGAAATTGATCAGGTAATGCAAGGAGGTTGGCAGCCTGAAGTAGAGGGATGGCAAGGGGACAAAACAAACAACTTCACTAATTAGGAACAAATTAAGGATGGAAGGGAGTTGTAAAAAGATAAACCTACCCCACTGTGTGACTTTTTCCACTAGTTACAGCTGCTGATAGTTATAGTAGACAGTATATCAGGGTGAAAATCCCTCTCAGAGGTACTAAGACACATTGCAAAAAATGTTCAGTTTCCAAGTGCTAGGGATTTTTTTTTTGTCCTAAGTGAATGTGCTAGAGAAGGACTCGAGACCTAGCATAGAATTCCAGATACCTGGAATACCAGCATAGAATCAAAAGGCCAGATTTTCAGACTGAAATTTTGTATCTAACCTTTGAGGTATGTAGGTTGATAAATCAAGGAGGTATGCATACAGAGAGTTGTGCACATATATCCAGCTCCATGAATGAACATACGAAATGTTTAGCTGTGTCATTACAGCAATACCTTTTTTAATTCATTAACTTCCAAGAAATAACTCTGGGAGGTTCCTCCCTGAGAACACCAAATGTGTTCCCCAATATATTGCTTTTATGGCAGGAGAATAAGACACCAACACAGAAAAAGACATATATTTTAATAAGTCATTAAATAAGTTTGCTAGCAAACATAAAATTTTACATAAAAATAAAACCTTTAGCTTTTAATAAAATCTGAATCACAATAATCTGAATTAAAATATTTGGAATGTTAGTGTAATAGCTTAATAAACTGACTCCACATGATACAGCTAACTCAAAAGGACATGCACATTTTCTTACACACTTGAAAGTGGAGTAAAAATTGAGGTTGAATCTAGCAACTCACAACACTATTCAACAGAAAATAATATTGTTACCCAGCAGAAGCCGTGGAGAATTTATGTCCCCAGAATGCAACTCTGAACTGAAATTTGTCTTGAGAATGTGATGCTAATATCCCTGCTCTTGCTGAAAGTCTCACACCTACAAGCACAATCAAGACCTCAGAGGAATTTTGTCTCAATTCTGCTGCATTCTTCTTCCTGAAAGATGTCAATGCTGTTGAAGAATATAAAGTGCAGAGATCATTCAAGACTGGAGAACTAGCACATTTTGAGTGAAACGGAGAATCTCTTCTGAAAGGTAAAACTACTTCTCGTAGCTGAGCATACCATAGCGTGCAGATTGCTCTATCTTCAAGGTTAGAAGCAAAATTAAGAAAGGGAGAAAATGGTCAACTAAATTGGAATATGACCTACTTACACAATATTTTTCCATTATCTACTTAGCTTAATTTTGTATATTTAGATTTATACACATATGAGGGATACCTCATGCTTTCGTTTTTAATCCCCACATCCATCTGAACAATTAGTACAGTATCCAGTCAGAATACAGAGGAACAAAGTGTGGAAGTTCTAGGCATATTCAGCTTGGATGGTAGTAAAAAAAAATAGTTAAGAAAACCAGAAACTGTGTTTAAAGCAAATCTTTCTTTCAGATGGTTTCTATTGGGTTGGCCAAAAAGTAATTGCGGTTTTTAAAATAGATACTTATACATGTCTTGAAATGTAACTAACTTAATTTTAAACCACAAATTTATTATGTAACTTGAGAGCTGACAGTTCAAGCTTGTTTTAGAAAAAGAAAGTGTACAATTTTGTTAACAATTATTTATTTGGCATCAATTTCAAAAAGGAAAATCAAAAGCAACATTTTTGTAATATTTTGCTGTATTACTTCCAAAGAGAAAAAAACACTGTGCAAGCTCATAAAAAGTAATGTGATGTGTATGGTGAACATGTCTTAAAACTACGGCAGTGTCAGAATTGGTTTGCTACATTTTGGAGTTAAAGATGCACCATGCTCTGAAAGGCCAACTGAAGTTGCTAAGTACAAAATAAAAGCATTGATTGAATCCACTCAGCATTTAACAACACAAGAGATGCTGATAAACTAAACATACAGAAATCAAGCATTGAAAACCATTTAAAACAACTTGGATATGTTAGGAAGCACATTGACATCTGTGTTTGAAATGTGAAGAAAATGATCCATTTTTGAAATGTATGATAACAGGCAATGACAAATGCACTGTTTACAACAATGATGAATGAAAAAGATTGTGAAGCAAGCGTGATGAACCAGCTCAAAGCACTTCAAAAGTAGATATTCACCAAAGGAAGGTTGTGCTCTCAGTCTGGTGGGATTTCAAAGGTATTGTGTATTTTGCATTGCTCCCAAGGAACCAAACCATTAATTTGGAGATGTACTGTCATCAACTGAATAAATGAAATGATGCCATCAAACAGAAGTGTCCAGAATTGGTGAATCACAAAGGTACTGTGTTTCTCCGTGATAATGTTAAACCATGAACAAGTCTGGTCACTCATCAAAAATTGTTGCATCTTGGATGGGATGTGTTACCACATCAACCATTACCACATCGCCAGATCTGGCACCATCAGACTACCATTTGTTTTGTTCCTTAGAAAAGCCTTGAATGGTAAAACCTGCACTGCTGATGAGGATATCAAATAATTTTTGAAACTGTTTTCTGCTGAAAAAGAGAAGAACTTCTTTGAGCGTGGAATCATGAAGTTGCCTGAAAGATGGCAAAAGGTAATTGAACAAAATGGACACTATATTGTTTAATACAGTTTTTGTTTCCCATGAAAATATCTCCTTTCATTTACTCAGAAAAAAAAACAATTAGTTTTTTTGGACAGACCAATAGTTTCAAATGCCTGGTAGGGATTACATGACTTTTCTCAGAAGGTAAGGAAGTGCCCTGAAGTTCCTCTTTCTGCCGTGGAGCTTTACAAGAAAGTTATTAGTACAAAGCCACACTGTCTCTGCCAAAAGCATTTATGGCTCATGATTAATAGCCTGTCTCTGATGATGTTTCCAGTGATGGTTATGATTCACAGATTGTGGCCTAACTCTTTCTATTTCAGAGACATTCCCCTCTGTAACCCACACAGCCCTGCTTTCTTCATTGACAAGGATTTTACGATGTCACAGTGTGTAATGAAAGCTACAGCAAAAAGAGTCATGCAGATAGGCAGAACATCATATTTACTACCATTCTGGAGCAAAAATAAAGGCAGAGAACAGTGGATTTCAGCCATCAGACAAAAATGTTACATGTTGTTCTGCAGGGTATCTGGAGAGGGTTCTTGTTCTGACAGGCCATGGGACCTCAGGCCTTGCTATGTGCAGAGATGGTTCCCAATCAGCAGTCTGGCTGATGGCCTTGATTTCAAGCTGGGTAGCTTCTAGACTGCTAGACTGACACCTAAAATAGATGAATATGTCATTTACAGAAACATTAGAAATAGGAGCTGTAAAAGGGTTCATAGTAAATGTCCAGTTATCTTAGGATTTGGAGAAAGAATGAGGTGGGGCTCAGGACCCTTGGCTGTGTAAGAAAACAAGACTGACTGTGAGGAATGCATTTTCCTCTTGCTACAAGAAATCCTTTCGATGCAGAATAAACCCTGGACTGCTGAGACCTAGTGTTGGAACAAAATAGAGAAATGCAATGCAAAGATGGAATTCTGTTCCTAGTACAACATGATTCTTCCAGTCCCATGTTGGGCAGCCTGTGCTGGAGCAATGCCTTGATCTTTCAGCTCTGTGATGACAGAGATACTTGCACTTGATAGAAGCCTCATCTTATCTGTCCCCCAGCTCCACCTTTCATATAAAAGGTGATGAACAAGAAAAGAGTATACAGTTCAATGACTTTTAAGAGCCAAATCTACCAATATAACAGAGGAAAAAAAAAAGAAAATATGAAACCGCAGGAAAAAGCGGTGCACTGGTGCTTACCAGCATTTGAGAAATGGATCCCAGGACAAGACAGGAGAAAGATGCTTTGACTTACTGCTGGATGGACTAAGTTGTTGCAGGAACTAAATTGTTCAGGGAATTTTAGCTTAAGTCCAGCATGAAGCCTAACTTTCTGTCAGCAGCTTGAATGTAGGTAAAGGGATAATTACAAAAAGCAAAGCCTGTGACTTGAGGGACAGTAGAGCTACATGAGAAGTAATAACTTACTCTGGTTGGTAGAGGAGGTATTTCTGTTCTTCCTCAATATCACAAAACCCAGAAGAAGTGTGATCAGTATAATCGCAGCTATAAGTGGGCCAAAGAAATTTATCTTCACTTGCTCCATTTCTTTCATCTTTATCTCTGAATAAGAAAACAGAGGAGATACACATAGCAGAGATTTAATTTGGTTACCATTGGCTTAATCTATCCCAAAGTTATATGAATTAGAAGTTTAGGGAAAGGCCTTCAGCATCCTTTGCTTTTGCAGTGCTTTAATAGTGTCAATAAATCACTATTCACATTGCTTTTTTCCATTTCCAATAATTAGCAAAACCACCAAGTCTAAACAGCCATTTCAACAGTAGTAAGGCAAAATACTCTTTCTGAAGTTTGGATAATGTGAGAGATCAGCAACTTGGTTAATGTAAGAGCCTACGAGGCTGCTACGGTGTTACTGCTACTCTGTGCTACTGTGCAAGTTTGAAAAACCTGGGATATGTTACTATTTGGTATCTGTTGGAAATGATAGTCAAAACCAAATGAAATGCCGTATGGGATGTGAAAGTAGCAGGGAATGCAAACAAGTTTCCCTCTGATTATTGTGCTTTTGAGGTTTTGGTTGCTGGGATTAGCAACTGATAGGGCTTCAGCTATCACCAAAGAAAGCTTTTGTTTATGTGGAGTTTCTAGTTTCTTACTCACCATCACTGCTTATCAGGTGGCTACTTTCATAAGCCAGGGAGGAGAGAAGTAGAATTGAATGTGAAAGAGGAAAATGCAGCAAGTATAGCTAATACAGCTAGTATAGCCATGTTAACACTCATAAGCAGCATGTAGAGATGTGCAAACCTCAGAAGAATTCTGTATTTGATTTTAATAACTAAGAATCATAGAATGTAAGGACATCAGAGGCAGTTTGCAGTATCTGGCATTGATGACTTAACCCTTTAGCTAAATTTATGTGAAGAAGATTGCAATGTAGAGATTTTTCAGAATGAGTGGCAAGATTCTTTCACATCTGCAGTAGTAAGGTGCGTGCCTGTATGACCCTGGTAGGTTTTCCTGCAATGCTACCATTTCCTTTTGGCTACTCCTGTCATTTGAAGCACAGCTCTCCCTCTTCAATGTGGTCTAAAAGAGACAGATGCAAAGCAAAAAAACTCATGACCAGAATGAGAATTGTCTTTATTTTGATGCACTTATGTCATAGCTTATGAAAAAAAAATGTCAAAGGACGTTTTCCTGTCCAATGAGATAAAGGAAATACAGCTTTAGTTTAAAGAAGGGATCAGTCATGTGGAACCCTGATATAATAAAGCCTTATTGTCTTATAATGGAGTCAATATAATAACTTATAATACAGTCTTATTGGAACTCAGGTCTGCAGCTTCTTCTTACAAGGAGTGTGTGAAAAAAGACACAATCCCAGAGGAAAAAAATCCTCAAATATTCATTTTGGAATGCGCACTTCATTCTGCCAAATGTTATGAAAACCACCAGGAATGCTTTCAAGACTAGTCAAAGCTTCATGGCCTTTGCACTTAAACTCAGCACTGTCTATTTGGCAGTTTGTGAGCCAAATCTGATCCAAGGGACTCTTCTGTTTAGCCTTCTGCTTCTCTCTAGGCAATGATTAAGAATAGCAGCTCAAGCACCTAAACACCAGAAAAAAACCTTTATTACTGTCAGAGTGGTTAAATACTGGAGCAGTTTGCTGAGAGAGTTTGAGGAGTCTCTGTCATGGGGGATATTTAAAACCCAACTAGATAAGGTCCTGTTCTGCCTATTGACCCTGTTTTGAGCAGGGTGGTTGAACTAGATGATCTCCAGATGCCACTTCCAACCTCAACAGTTACCTGATTCTGTGAGGTGGAAACCTCTCTTAACCTCTCTTGTAACCAATCCCTACCGCTGCTTAGGGTTTATTTCCTGCCTTGACTGTGCTGCTATCTATGATCTGCTCTACTGCTCCTACCTATGCAAAAATTGGAGTCAGCAAATGGAGACTTACCTATACCTAATGGCAGTGAGACAAGGCTTCCCAGCTGCTCTCCAAGATAAAGCAAGCAGCTGATATTAGTGAGGGTGTTTGTAGGAACTGGAATATTCAGCTTGCTGGTAACATTGTACAGCTTTGTTACAGCATCCTGTGATAGATCCATGGGACAAATATGCCTGTGTGTTCTGTTTTCATATGAAATGAGCCAAGTCATCTGCTTGGGCTCTGGATAACCTCCGCTGGAAGAACAGGAAAGATTCAAGTATTCGTTGGGCTTTAGTTCCCCAGCGTGCAGCCATGCTATCTCAGGTTGACTATAGTTGGCTGAAATAGACCAAAGAGAAAACATTATCAGTCAGGCATACCGTGTCCTGTGACAGTTCCTGCCAAGATTTTCAGGCAGAACCAAGTCTAAACAACTTTCCCAAGAAAACAGTGGGAATTCCAAGAAGGGTTTGCTATGATTTCAGTGCATACGTAAACTTGCTGCTCATTGTCCTCCTACTACCTCTTTTAGATCCATTGACACCTCAGAATAATCAAACCTGGCCTCCTTGCATGTCAGTGCGTAAGAGCAAAATGGGAATGGGACACAGTGCTGCCAACTCTCATACCCATGATTAGGTAAGGGGAAAACCACAAACTTTTAACTGTGAAAATTAGAGAAAGAAATCATCTGAGAGTCTTCGGATGGGGTAAGCTGGAGGTCCAGTGCTGTCATAGGTAGAAATATCCTTGGTGTATGTCAGTTTTATGAGTATTCATTTTGCAACATATAAAGTAATTCACTTGACAGTAGGCCTCAAGTTTTTATGTGGAAGTGACTACAGTGTAAGTTTTTTTTACTTTGTGTCATTGGATACTCATCCCAGTCAATGAAAAATATAGCTGTTGCTTTCAAAAGTTGAGTTTCCCAGGCAATAAATAGTTGGTGAAACAAGATTGGAAAGAATTATTTAAACATAAAATATGAATGATAAAAGGAAGCTTTTAACCAACACTGTCTGTTAAATAAATACCCAAATATTCTCAAACAGGATTTGTTTGGTTAAAAGGTCATAGTAAAAATAGTAGACTATAATGGAGAAGGAGACAATGTAGATGTAATACTAACTGTACATTGGCTCACAGCAAGTTAAAAACAAAGAAACAAAAATAACAACAAAAAAACAAGAAACATACTTAAGACTTCATTGAAAATACTTCATTATTTTAGTGCCAACAGGGCTAAAGACAGTAAGGAGAAATATTGGAGAAGGTGAGCCTAAGAGGGCCTGACTCTTCTGCACTCATACTCAGTGTGTTGGATTCAGGCTCTAATCCTTGCCCAAGTGAATTCTTAAGATGGATGGATGAAGAAATATGATGTTGCCTTTATTTGCTGTATGCCAACACATAGAGAGAAGGATTTAGCTTTATCACTTAAATCCTCAAGAGTGTCCATGGCTGTGAATTCAAATTGGAAAAAGTCCCACCTTCTTCACATCCCCAAATTTAGTTACATTGTCCCTCAGGAAAGCTCAAGCTTCCTCTTTCTCCTCATGATCTGACTTGCTTAGCTGACTGCTTACTCCAGCTTCTGGTCTGGAGTAATTATTCTCTCCTTGGCATTTTATAGGGAGGGCAGGAATGTAATCCATGGCTGTAAAATTTGCCAAATCATCCAAGTAATCATTCAATCTTATTGACAATAAACAAGTGGAAATAGTGGAATATACCCTGATCAAAGCACCTCCGTTTTTATGGTTTCTGGAACCTCAATTTACTGAAAAGTAACTGGTTGCATGCAGGGTATGGGTTATGTGTATGTGAGCTTTGGATTGTTTACAGAAAAAGCATATTTCAGGAAGTCTTTTGTATTTTAAGATAAGATGTATTTCAAAATATGCTATGGGCTTAGATTTAAATACCTCAAGAGACAGCAGATCCATCAAGCTCTTAATATTTTTCTCAATGGCTTAACCACCCTACCTGGTTTTGTTCTGTTTTCTAAACTGACAATGTGCCTTACTTCTCACTTGCTTCCAGCCACTGACTGTTTTTATATCTTCACTGAATTAATTACCCTTTTATTAGATATCCAATATTTTATGTGTATTTCAGGTTTCCACACTCTGAAAACAAGACTCTTCTCAGTCTTCTGTATTATAAAGTAATCAGATTGATCTTTTAATGTCTTTTAATGCTGGACTGCATTTTTCCAGCCTTCAGATAACTCTAGCAGAGCTTTACTTCATGCTTTTAAGTTTTTCAACATCCCCTTTCAAATGAGGACACAAACTGTTAAGTCTCTATTCTGACATCAGTTTTACTCCCAACACTTTGAATAGCGTGTACTTTGAAATAGCTTCCCTAGTCTCACCTACTTCCCTTATTGATCCATCCAAAGGAAACACTAGAGCCATGCTACAGCAGCAGAATTTCCAGTTAAGCTGCTTATCACCATGGTCTCTGCCTTGCCTGTTTTAAGAGCCAAAGCTTTCCATATTATGAAGCCCTCCTTTCTTTCTTGTGGATGATCTGTGTTCATTGTTCTTATATAAATAATCCTGGCTGTATACAATACATAAAATAGACATATATCTAGCTATATATTGTCCTAATATAAGACATATAAATAACACATGTAAACAGTATTAGAAGGCACTTCAGTATTTCTGAGTGGACTTGGTCACCAAGGGATCTAGATAGCTTTGTGTGACTGCCCTATCATTCTTATACAGCATTCAATCTTTCTTATGCCCATTTTGAGTGTGACACGTCATGCTACAAAAAACCCTGCACATATGATACAAAATTTTAATTAAGAATCAGCAGGTAAGCACAGGTACATTTCAACATTTGTATTTTTCTTCTAATTATTTTTATTTTTTAAAATATGATTTTATACTGCTCCTTCCTTGGAGATTATTGAACAGGAAGTAAATTGGAATGAACTTAACAGCGAGTAGTTTAAAACAGGCTGCCTTAAAAAGTCAGGGAGAGTTTTAGTGCCTAAGTATGAGACTTCTATAACATGTTGTGTAGATATTGGCTAAGCTGATAACTGATTTAACTGCTTGAATTAACTGAACAGTTGATGCTAAGCATCCCTTAAATTTGAGACCTTGATACTGAGTGCACATTATGAGTTTCCGAGTTCTTAAACTTTGCTTAAAATACTTGTCAAGTACTAGGAGAATCAAAATTAACAATCTAAGTTTTCTATCTGTGGATCAAGAGAACACTTGTCAGAAGCACAAAACTAAATAGGCTCAGATGTCCTGGTACTCTGTTTTTGGCTGCTGTTACACATGTTCTGTTCTCTTTTGAAGCGGTATGCTGAAGCCTGAAAACACCAGTGGAAGTTAGAAGCTGTTACTATTAATGACTAACTAGCACTATCATAGTGGAAGAGAGAACACAGGTATACAGACAAAGATAACTAACAGAAATGTTTAAAATAGAAAAAACATTAGGAAAATCTATTAGGAATTACTAAAAATATTAGGAAAATATTGTTTCCTCACTTCCATTCACCTGTTAGAAGATTTGCTGCCTTTTCCTCTAGTAACATGCAAGAAATCAGGTTAAATCTCATTAATGCATGCATTTTATCTTCAGACATAATTTCAGTCTTCCCTTAACTGAACATACAAATTTCTACTCCTCCACATATGAGCTGCTCTTTTCTTTATTTTCCTGGTGATTTATATTATCATAAAATAGCTGGCTGTTTGCAGAAATCTTATTATGTTTCAATTGTAATTTACCGTCAACTATGATAACTACTCCTACTTTTAATAGAAGATAGACCATCAGAAGTGTATTTTCCAGAGTTCTAAAAGCCATAAACCTTGCAGGAGACAAGAGGAAGAAGGCAGAATGGTTTTAAATATAAAGTATGACAGGGTGGGAATAAGGAATTTTGCAATGTTGCACAAATTATTGCCTCATTTTCTACTTCTTCTGATTGCTCCTACCTGAGTACTTTTCATTCAGAGCTGAGGGTTTTCTATTGAGAATTTTCCTATCCATCTTTAGAAATTCTGCTCGAATGCAGGTACATCTACAGTACCACACATTTCTGGACTGAAAAAAGTGACAGAGAACCTCCAAAAAAACTCCAGACCAGATGACAATTAGAAAAGATTACTTACCAATGATACTCAGTAAGCACTCAGATTTGTGTATGATCTTTGGTGATCCTTTATCTCTCTGCTGTACAATACATGTGTACTGTCCCTCATCCACAATTCCTGCATGTAACAATTGCAAGGTCCATTTCTCCATATCCATCTTGGTGCGATTTATATATTTAGGACTAAGGTTATCATGTTTTTCTTGGCCATAGTATACTTCATGCACCACCTCAAGAGCGTCTTTTTGCCAAAAAACTATTACACTCCTTATGTCAGTTTTCTGAGAGTTTGGAAAATAGCAAGATAAGTATGCAGCGTGATTGAGAAATGACTTCACCTGATGCACTCTGGCAGCAATACCTTAGACAAAGAGAGAGAAGAAATGAAGATTTCCATCATCTACAAAAGAACACCTAGTATTTGCACTCACAGAGGCAACATTTAATGACAGTAGCAATAAAAATGCCAGTATTTAGACACAAATTCTCCCACTAGGTATGACAGGACACATAGTTCTTCAAACAGACTCACTTAGTCTTGTGGACTTTGGGTCATAAAATGGTTTCTTATTTTTCTTCCTATATTTTACTTTCTAAGGAAGGCTGACCACACAGAGGTTGTGAGCATTTATATTTTAGAAGACTTATATGCAGGAAAAAGGTCTAAACCTCACATTCTTCTATGTAGCATTCTGAGTGCAGTGAGATTCTGCCACAAAGGAGATAGTTGCACAATTTCTTTTAAAAAAGTTGAGTTCATTCTTCTACATAACACAGCATTGTAGTTTTGAAGAAAATGTGAAGTGCATACTGTGTGCTATATGTTAGTGTTTAGGCAATGTATGACCATAAAGTCAGAAACAGGTGAACACTTTCACTGAAGAATTAATCTAAAGTTTAATGACAAATTAAATGCCAGATTCAACTGTTCTGTAATTAATCTAGAGTTTAATGACAGATTAAATGTCAGATTTAACTGTTCTGTTGCTTTTCTTGTTAACAGAAATGGTTGATAAACACAATTATGCCTTCATGCAAAGAAAGCATGAACTGTATTACACAAAGGATGACTTTTCTCCCACTTTCATCAGTGCATGTAGCCATTATTACAGGTGGTGATGGGCCAGGAGGACAGGCTTTTCTTGGAATGAGAAATGCACTCCTCTGCCCCAGAAGATACAAACACCTCTGGCATGTTCAAAAAGAGGAGATTTACAGTCTTTTACCTGGTGCAAAATTTTGACTGCTCCTCCAGAGCAGCAGACTGTAAAATGATCTCCATAGCTGCCTACAACTCCAGTTGTCCCATATCAAACTGTCAGTTTTCAGTTTAATATTGCTTTCCTCTATGATATACAGAGGTGATATACACACATTTTAGAGATAGATTTAAATTGAAAATTTAAGAGCAACATAAAATAAGTGTCATGTAAAGATATAAAGTTGAAGAGAGAGAGTACTTACTGTGTATTTTATAGAGTCCCTGCACACAATTTAAATACATGTCACATAGGCTATATGAACTCGATTGTGCAATGGAAATGATTAATTACTACGAAGGAATGAGCTTCTTAGTGGATGGGAAAGTATCACAGAGCAGAACCCAATAATCAAAGCAGTTTTTACAATTAAATATGCACGTTTTACCTGGGAGAAGTATCATAGCTTGAAGAAAGAATATGCAGACTTCCATGACACTGTAAGAAGGAAGAATGAAAGAAATATGTTAGAGGTTGAAAACACTCCAGTACCTTCTCCAGTAGTCCCAAAGAAGTCATAAAACAAGATGTTTTAGCAAAAGACAAACTATTAAGAAAGTCAATCTCACCTTTTCCCTTGGACTGATGCAAGACTTCTGTGTGCTTCACAGCCTTTAACAATAAGAAACATGACATGACATGTCCCTGGTTTACAGAGAAGGTGATACGGCTCAAGATGACTGCAGGCAGGGTATGCCATAGGAGGAACACAGAGTCCCTAGGGTGCAAAGAACAGGATGAGTACATGAAACGGCTTGTGTGGAGGAAAGAGGAATGGGGCACATGCTTGGCCTTGCCAGTGTGAGGAAGAAGATGGGGGAATTGAAAGTAGAGTGGGAGGAGAGGGTGACGCTGAAGGAAGAGATGGGGGAGATGGTGTGATGATGTCAGCTACCAGAAGTGATGAAGTGTGTGACCTTCAATTTTGTAACAGTAACCTATCCTTCACAAGAGTAAAAGATAACTGAGAGAAATCCTATATGGTTTAAAGACTTGAAGCTAAAGAGCACGTAAGTTGTGGTCTAGAAAAATGGGTATCTGCTTAGAAAAAAGGAAAAAAACTCTATGACATATCTCATAAACAAAACAGTTCTATGGCTGCCTGGGTTCATGTGGTATAAGGGCCTGTAGTCCTGGTAAACAGACAGATGTCATTTCCATGCACTGGTGAGAGAATGGCACTTGTATCTGACTGGCCTGTGGCTGCTGGTTTGCATTCTAGCAACGCCTTTGTGTTTTTCCTGTGCCTTTTCCATATACTTGGGAGAAGCCTCCACACCACGCCTGGCAAGGTCCTTCACTCTCCTGCTTTAAACAACTCCAGAGAATCCTCTTTTGCTGGAGCAGATGTAAAAACTCTTCAGCTCTCTTACTACATAAAATCAGTGAGATTGCTGTCTGCTGTCCTGACTGGTAGTACAGCTTCCTGATGGTTTCCCATTTTTTGTCATGTTTTATTTTAAGCTGTTATGCTTTGGTCTTTACCTTTACCCTAGATCTCTGGGAGCAAGAGGCTCTTCTGTTTAATACAGAATTCCCCTCAGTCTGCTGACACATTTTTTGTGTGTGGATTGTAACATACAGAACTGTGAATAGCATTTTTTTCCAGATCAGATTCATCCTGCCTTTTCTTATGAAAGAAGAAGAGAAAGAAATCCACATGTCTCAGAGGACACAGATAGTTTTCTTTGTGATCCATGAGTTTTAGCGGAAGAGGAGGGAGCGCTTGTGCAGAATCCATTGTTGTAGACATGGGTCATTCTTTTTCTGCTCCAGCCGCCCTACTACATGGTGAACTTCTATCAAGGGGTTTTCCTCCTAAGCTGGGCCCCACTGAATCAAACCACACAACTGATTGTCTAAATGAAATTGCCCGGGCTAAGCCACTAAAAACTACAGAAACTCCTACTCGACAGTCATATTTCCTTCCCTTCAGTAAGAATCCTTGCTTCTAGTCAAGTTAAAAAAAAAAAAAGCATAGCCCTATATTTTGATCCAGTGCTGGTGTGTAAGAGGAGAAATTAAAGCAATTTAGCAACTGGAAACATTAATGAAGTAGACAGAGAGTGTACTCCTATAGCTGGGCATGTTTTGCAATGACTGTCTCACAGCGGCAAAAGCCAAAAACGGAACTGAAAATAAGAGTGATAGAGTGAAATAGAACCCAGTCAAAAATACCAGATAACACTCCTTGTGTTTCTTTATGGGTTGGATTTGGAGCTATGAGGACAGAAGCGTCAAATATCCTACATGGTTTCCTGGCTACTCGCTTCCAGGAGAAGGCATGTTGCTGGGGAAGGCTGCATGAAGAAGGATCCCATGAGCCTGCAAAGGAGTGAAGCCCACATTCCCTGCAGAGGGAGGTCACTGAGTGTGACAAGCTGCTTCTTTTACGTGACTTGTGTTATAGAGAATTGCTGAATCATTAATTGAGCCAATAAAATTCAGTACTGCAAGTAGCGTATCTTATCTTACGCTTTTTCTGCAAGATACCTTTAACCAGCAAATGCAAATCCTTGGAGCCAGTGTTCAGAAGACTGAGGGGAGGAAGAATTACAGTCTCTGTGTTGTCTACTTACACCATTTGTTTGGCATGTTCAACAAAAATTCTGTACTCAATTATCTTTTATATCTGCAGGCCATTGAAAGTATGATTATGTCCCAGAACTGTTTAGCAGTCAAAGGGGACTAGGTAAGAGGGGCAAGATAGACTTTGCTTCAGGGTATGACCTGCTGCTGGCAAATGGTGTGGACTAAACTGTCCTCTTCATGGCCATGGCCCAGTGCATGAGCACTCTGCTCCACTTCAGAGCATTGTGGGTCTGTGTATGAATGTGCAGTTTTTCTGTTCAAATGCTGGCTGCATCCAGATGTGGGAGTGATGCTTTTTCACAATGCCAGTGATAACTGATGAGATAGGAGTGGTTTGAAGACCCAGGGCTTAAAAATTATAATCTCTGATATTCAAAATCACATGAGATCAGTTCTCCCTTCATGGAAAGGTAACCATTTTCCCTTGCTAAATAAGGCTAGCACTATGTGGCATGTGTTTCTTGCCTTTTGGGGCTTTGTCAGCCATTCCTGGAGATGTCCCCATGACCCACAATTACAAATCATGTGTAGATGTCAGAGATGAAAAATGGAGAAGTATATTGGTTGCAATTATGTCAGTATGCAGTCAGTAGTCACGGTCAACTCTTTATTTCCTTTCTCTGCAGTCCAGTCACTGAAAGGAGAAGAAACCATATGAGTACATGCACTTTACTGGCCCTATTCACGACTCCTTTGACTTGAACCAAATCAGTCTGAAAAAAAGTCATGAGGCAATTTCCACTTGGCTGAGTACAGGGGGATTCTTTCCTTGAAGAACTCTAAGATAAATGTTTGGGAAGAAGAGACAACTTCACTCCCTGTACTTTTGAGAGCAATTGCCAGAAAGCCCTGTGTGACTTATTTTGAGATCGGCTTGTGCTTTCTGTCTCTTGTTCCTCCCCATCCAACATGTGAATCCAGCATGTGAAAACCCAATATGCATAGTGAAGCATGAAGGTCTTGGAGTAAACAAGAGCTTTGTATCTGGTATGCTTGGCTGGGTTTTCATTTGCTCTCTTTTTTTCCTGGTTTTATTTTTGGATGTAGTCTTTATCTTTTGAAACACACCGTCAAATATGCACTGTTTGACTCGTAAGTTCCTTCACTGACCTTCGGCTGCTTTCAAAATATTCCTTTCTTACATGTTCTTACATGGAATTAGTCTATTTTCTTACATCAGGTACATATCTTCTATGGGAAGACTCTAATCCCCATGTTTCACAATGAACTCAAAACAAAACTGGCCACTGAACTAGTAATCTACTCTTTTGACTTTTCTAGTGTAGGGTATTTTTCTAAAATTTCCACCCTGTGCAACACTGAAGAGCTCCATGAGCAGTGCTGTGAGTCTCCTGGAGACAGGACATCTGCCAATAATACTTTCCACCACTGACTGGAAAGCTGTCCTAGAGATTTCTAAATGAAATTGTGCAAAAAATGCATTTACCAGCCTTCTTCCATGTTGTAAACACAGGTTGATTTAAACAAGTGTTATCAAAGGAAATCACAGCTTAAGAAAATTCCCTTAATGTGGCAAGGTCAGAGAATTCTAGGATGCTCTCCACACAGATACTAAGCCATACAACCACATAAGTATTCAACAAGAGACACATTTTAGAAACATACCATCACTCAGGCAACTTGTGTTTTCTATGTACTTCTCAAGTTAGAAAGTGACACTGTTTCAATAAACTACTAAACCTTTTCTATTGCTCATTCTTTTAGAACAATCTTTAAGTTTCATTTGAAAATTCTAGGCTTGTTGTTTAATTATGTTCTTATTACATTAAAAAAATGCCTCTATCTCCCTAATTTTTGATTTCTAAATGTATTTGTATTTCTTCTCACTATCCCCTCTTTCAGTAACATCCTTTCATTATATCTAAGATTGTCAGAAGAACTGTGACTTTATCTATGATTTTGAGATCACTTTGCTCTAACATCCAGAAACTGCTTTTTTAATAAAAATTAAACACCACCAATTATATAAATAATACCTTTGGTCCAAAGATCACGGAGCATTCCACCGCCTCTGCGACCAGAATTCTTCATCCACAACTAAAGGGCAGGTATCTGTGAAAGACAGCACAGCGACTGCCTAACGGTGCACAGTCCCACAGCACTAATCATAGGACACGAACGTTTACTCCACGCAAGTGCGATGGCAGGGGAAATTTGTAGGGGAAGAACGTCATCAACCAGAATTAGACATACATTGGGATTGGCTGGGGTGTTTATTCTGAGTTCCACCTAAAGGGCAGGGCAGGGCAGGGCAGGGCAGGGCAGGCTTACATATTTTTCCACACTCTAAGCTACACCTGGCCACAGAATTAGCAAGTTGGTTGAACCACTTCTGCATCATGAGCACTACATCAAGTGATGTCTGTCCTCCTTTCCCAGCCTTTGCACTTGCCTCAGGGTTAGTCAAGCAAACATCACAGTTAGGAAGCAGCAATTGCCAGGTTCATTTCTCACCAGGTTACACCAACTGGTTTGACTTTGCAATGAAACAGAGAAGGAGCATACCCCTATTCCCACACAGGTGACAATTTAAAGATGCCAGCTGATTTACAGAACACTCAGTTGCTGGAGTTTCCTCAAGAATCATTCCACAGAAGAGGAGATTCAAATGCCCACTGCCAGGTTGTCCCTCTTCTGAGTCTCCTACTTCTGCACAAGACACTTTGCCTGGAAATGGCAGCATGACTACACAATGCAGTACAGGCAAAGAGCAGTTTGCAGGGTACTTCTGATGGCAAGATATGTACTGTACACAAAAGGATGAATCTGTGGTTGATTCCCAACCTACATCCAAACACACCTAACAAGGATTAGCAGCCAC